TCGTGTACATTTTAGGTGAAAAATAATCGTTTAATAAACAAACCTCGTAGTTATTTTAATGCGTGCATAGAACACGAATATTAATCTGAGCGACAACACTTGCTCTTACTATGAATATAAAAAAAAAAAAAAAAAGTCCATCGATAAAGAATTATTGCTACACTACGCAATAGGAGATATAACAAAAATATTGCTGTGCTAAGACTCGAGAGCTTCCGTGACTGCGTAATTAAACTTGAACTTTCTAAAAAGAAATTATCACAGACTTGAATGGAAAAATCATTGAAAAATATAAATAAATAATTATATTACGCAGCTCCTTAGCAATGACAGTCGAGTTTTAGTATTTAAAGATATTTAAACTGCAATAACGATGTTGCGTAATTGTATTGAACATTGTTAAAAAGCAACGTATAACTTCCGCATAAATGTAACCATTTACTTAGGCACATTCATAAACAAATAATATGAATAATTCGATTACCAGCCGATAGACTTTTCGTAAACGAAATTATCGATCGATCTCGTCCAATGGTTTAACAATAATTTTACAATCGTTATCACTAAGCAAGCCCAATTGAGAATGCAAAATTGTCCTATAGTAGAGAATGAAGGCCATTGCTGATGTGCACGTAGTTTCTTTCATTGCATTGAATCTGAAATTGACAATAGTATCTCCGAGTGTAAGATAAAACTTGTTAATTACAAGGCGGCCGAGATTTTACGTAACCATTAAAAGGCCACCGGCATTGGCAGGAGGGATGGAATAATAGTTCGAACAGCCTCGAACTTCCATTGCAATCGACCATTAAATTCGCCGGTTTGTGATTGCAGTGATGGCCGCATAGGCAGCAGCAATAATAGCAGCAGCGAGGCGGGGAGGTTCGACTCGCTGACATCATCGATCCGAGGAAGGAGGGAAGCTTTGTCAGCCCCTAGGGGCTTCGGTCGATCTCGTGCGGCCTCGTGCACCACCTCCACCTTCTAGCGGCTCACCCTTAAAGCCGCGGGACTGACTAAGGCAGGTCGCACTGCAGCAGCCGGTGCTCCTCAGTCGGCCACGGGGATCTTACGCGCGCGCGCGCGCGCGCGCGCATTCACACGAGCTCGCGTACCTGCTATGAAATCTTCCTGACCGAGGACGACGCGACGGTCCTCCAACGAGGCAATTCGCTCCACTGCTCGCTCGCACTTAGGGACAAAGGTAAGGAGAGGCTTGGCAACATGTCGTGGCTGCGTTCGACTGGCGACGTGGTCGGCTTCCTGCTGCTCTCCATCCTGGCTATCCTAGAGTCCGTGACACTTGCTTTCATACCCAAGAGGTATAGAATGAAGAATGTCGCCGGTGAAATTGCCCTCGTAACCGGCGGGGGCAGCGGACTCGGTAGACTCATATCGCTCAGACTCGCCAAGCTCGGGGCCATCGTCGTTGTTTGGGATATTAACACACCAGGTGAGTCGCTCCTCATTGAAATAGAAAATTGGAGAATTGACGAAGGATCGACTAATACGTTAAAGTGCCTTCTTTAGGAGTATATATACGATATGAGAAAATTTAATCCTTCGGACGAATACAAATTGTATTTCCCCTTGGCTTTTAATGATTGCAAAAAGTTCCTTCTA